ATAAAGCTGGATTGTTTTATATTTGTCATAAAACTGTGTAAAAAATTTTGTTTGATTCATTTAGTTTGCAAAAATTTCATTTACTCTTTCATTCGTTCATTCATTTATTTCTTTATTATTTCAATTGTGTGCTTAGACGCATAGCAATAAAATTATTTTCTAGCAAAATGAACAAGAATAAAAACTTTATGGCAGAGAAATAAAAAGCTCCAGATAATTGAAATCATCTGAAAAATAAAAAGTTCTAGATAATTGAAATCATATGATGTGCCTCGCTTGAAACACGAGATATTTGTTTTTAATTGATATCTCGCCATTGAGGCTTTATTTGCTCACGTATTTCCTAATTTCCTTCGAATCTTGCAATTATTATTTTTATTATTTTTGTTTTTATTATTATTATTATTATTCATTTTTTCTTTTTCGTTGCGTTATAATAAATAGTAATTAAATAAAATCTATTAAATAACTAATTACCTCGTTTCAAACGCGTTTACATTATAACTGTGTTCTATGTATCACTTTAGTAATAATAATGTATGTTTATTTAAAATCATCTTAACGGCCCGCCACCTCACTACAAATGTAGATTTTGCTTCATTAACTGGGTTCATTTTGTGAAATTGCTGCTCCTGAACTTTTGAAAATGATTTTTCAATTAACTAAGCATATTAGTTGAACTAATAAAAGATAAATTAACAACTCCTTCTTGCTAGCCATCCATCGATTATTTCTTATCAGCAGTTGTTATGGCAGGTTATAAAACTGCAAAAGCTCCCAAAAAATCAATTTATTTTAATATTTCACTATTTTTCACAAACTTTATGATCAAATAAACAATTTTCAGTTGAGTGACCAAAATATGAAAATGATATGTTCTCGGTGACTAGTAGAAAGAAGGTTGCTACAAATTCGTTGGAGATATTCCGAGTCTGTTGTGAAACGTTTATTTGATTGTAGATTAGAGTTGTGTCATTAATGGACAGATCTCCGTCTAAGTTAAATATCGCCGCTGAATTGCTGAAAAAGACGCTGTAAATATTTGCCAATGGTAATTTAATCCTATTTTTGGGTAGGGTTGCCAATGATATATCGATATTTACAAAACATCAAATAAACCGATGTCAACACCGATATTTTATGAACGACGTCTCCGGTATATATCGATAGTCGAACTCTCAAAAACATCGACAACCAAATTTTGGTCCGTTGAACTCTCACGAAACATACCAACATGTAACGAACCACCGATGTTTCAAGAAGGATATTGCATCTCTATGCAGACCTCTGGCACTTGCCACTCTCAGAGCGCATGTACATCGCTTGCATGTAATATATTATACCAATAAATAAATCTTGAAAATCTTTACAAAACAAAACAATGTGTATCTTCAAATTTGTAAGCGCTGTAAAAAGAAATTCAAATTTTTCCTTTTCTTCAGACTTAAACTATGACTATTTGCACCTAGGATGTTTCGCCAGACAAGCAACGACATTTACAGAGGACCTAGTAATTTATACCATACGCAGCGGTAATTTTAATTACTATCGACTAAGTATAAAAAAATATTTCGCGGTATTTTATTGCGGATCTTTTGAATTTTCATAACGTCGCCGTGGTTCCTTGGTTGGTATTTACTTTAGAAAATGCCTCTTATGTTCATGAAATAATTTTTTTTATTCGTATCTTATAGTAACTGTCTTACTTATTAAATTGTTGCTCATATGCAGTTGTTTGATAAACGAATATTTTCGTTGCTTTCACACGCAAGTCGCCGACCTGAGTATCCACTTTACAAATTTTCAGAAATGTTGACAAATTAAATCACTCGCTGATAACGATTGACAGTATATTTAAATTTTTACATTATAAAAAGAATGCCAATCTTATTTTTATATTTTCAACAAAATAAGGTTGACAAATAAATAAACATTACCTTTAACATAACTGGCGGATGTTGGTGAGTTGATCGTGACAACGGCAACGGCAACGACCATCATGCAAATTATCACATTTCTTACGGACATCTTGCTTTTATAGAGCTATGCAATTCACAGAGGCTTTTACTGAATGAATTTTATGCAGAGGTGTGTGTGTAATCTTTAAATTAAATAATAAATGCACGAACTTTAAATTAAATAATAAATAAACAAACTTTAAATAATAAATTAAATTAAAAAAACACGCTGAACGACTGGTTAAGTATTCTTGCGAGTTACAATAATAACCTATGAAAATTCTCGTTGAAAACTTTTGGATGGATAAATTTTTTTCCTCGCCTACCCGAAGTTTTTATAATTATTTTCATTTTTTATTCAACTTGAAAATTTATATAAAATATTGAAAAAAATATTTTGCGTTGAGACTCATTTCCTACATATTTCTCTGGATACACCACCGCTATGTTTCACTTTTGAATGAATCTTAGTCAATTTTTTTGTTAACTTTAACGGCATTTCAGCTCCCACAATGGTGCTATAATGTGCCTTGTTGACATTGACCTTTATTTAATAATTTATTTCAGTAAATGTTTTTTATTTTTATTTTACTGGTGAATTTTGTTATAAAATTTTGTTTATATATCAGTGAATTTTTGAATGAAAATCAATAATTTTTATTTATCGGATGACAAAAACAGCATTTATTCTCAATGGAACAAACCAATCAACATTTGAAACCGCGTTGGAAATACTACAAGCAAAGAATGTGGCACGTTTTTTAATATCGCAGCGACCAACCTCACATACCACGATGCAAATTTCGGCGAGTTAACTTCATTAAAATACTTCGAATTATTATTTTTTTAAAACTTGTTAATTTAAATGTGAATAATTAAATGTATGATCCGAAAATTATTCATTTAATTACGCTTGCATGATAAACTTAAAAAGCTTGAAAAAGTGAAAACTAAATAATAGAGGCAATTCTAGACTGTTGAAAATCTACATATTATTATTTAATCTATGCTCGCATATTTTATGCTTTTATTTATTTGATTCAATTTTAAAGAATAAAAATAAAACAAAATTATATATATATATATAATTTAAATAATTAAAAAATAAAAGACATAGATAAATTTAAAAAACCCTTACTTGTCTAGGCGTTTGAAGGGAAGGTTCTGACGATATAAAACTGAGTTTGTCAATGGACTCGCTATTTATTCTCTGGCCTCCCATGTATTTATGTTCTGTGCATCATTTTATGCAGCCATGTTGCATGTTGTATGTTGCGTGTTATATGTTGCAGCTGGATGTTGCCTGTTATATGTTGTCATGTTGGATGTTTTGTGCTGTGTGTTACGTGTTATATACTAAATGTTATATGTTGCGTGTTGCATGTTGTACCTTGGAAGTTGCACGTAGGATGTTGCATGTTGTTTTTTCATTTTGCATGTTGAGTGCGTATGTTGCATGTTGTGTGTCGCATATTGTGTATTGCGTGTTGCATAAGGTTCTGCATGGAATAAACAGTTTGATCGCGATCAATCAATCATCAATCAATTAGCTTATAAAGCGCTATTTCCGCGATGTTCAACAGCGCTCCTCAATGAATTTTGAAAACAGATGGGTCTTGAGATCCGCTCTGAACTTCGCAAGTGATGGAGAAGTAGTCAGAGAAGTAGTTAGAGAGTTCCAGAGAAAAGGACCAGAAAAAGCAAAAGCAGATTTGGCAAAAGAGTGTTTAACACGAGTTAAGAAAAAGCGAGAAGAAGAAGGCGATCGTAAACCGGGGCGTTTAGATTCAATTAATATATTTGATAAATACTTAGGAAATAATTTAGATTGAGACTTATACATGAACGTGCAAATTTTAAAAATTATTCTATATTTTATAGGTAGCCAGTGCAAGAGAACAAGATATGGAGATAGATGAGAAAAGAAAGGGGCACGAGCAACTAGACCATCAGCAGAGTTAAAAGCTTTACTTAAAGGTATAGATTTATTAAAACAAATTAATTAAAACTTAGAAGGATTAAGTTTAAGACACATAGAGTCAGACCAAGCGATAATTGAAGGAAGACATAGAAATAGGTTATGAAGAACACTATTGAGATTAGATGGAGGAAAAGAAGTATAAATGTAAGAATCATCAGCATATAGTTGACTAGAGAAAGAAAAGTTATTAATAATACGAGGTAGTTCAGAAGTATAGAGTATAAATAGAAGAGGGCCAAGGATAGAACCCTGAGGTACCCCGAAAGTAAGAGTAGAGGAGTTAGAAGTAGAATTATTGAGAACAACAGAAGAAAAACGATTACAGAGATAAGAAGAAAACCAAGTTAGAAATGAATCAGTAATATTAAAAGAAAGATGCAGCAGTCTATGCTACTTTCCAATTTCATTTACATTTTTAAAATGTGGCTAAATAATGCTGACGTCATCGGCGGGTTTAAAGGAGGCTGAAAAGCCATACCCCCCTTCCCCATTATCAACAGCCGACAATCATTTTGTTTTAATATTTGAAAATGTAGTCAACCTCACCATATATCGTTTTACAGTTAATTTTTAGTTTTTATGAATTAAAACACAGTTTATATAAATTAAAACACAGTTTTTATAAAACAATTTTTATAAGTAAACGCTATTTTAAATAGAAAAATTGACCAAAAATGCGACAATGCTAAAACAAAAGTCGCTAAGAATTTCCAGTTGCTGACCTCCGTGAAACCTTGGACCTCTTTGTTGAGGTTGTCTGGATCCACTCTTGGCTGAAGTTCAAAGTATTTTATATGTGCCATTTTTATACTCAATATACAAAAATGTATATATTTTTTTCAAAAATATTTTAATTCTAAACATACATGCACATAAAAATTCATCATGAAAAGTTCGATTACGAAATTCAACAAAATTGAAAAAACATTTAAATTTAACAAAACTTTTGTATCATAAAACACAAATTTGACTTGTATGAGATCTTTGACGTGAATAATTTCACATTTAAAAGTGAAGGTAACGTAAGGAAAGAGACTTATATTCTCCTAAAAATTATTTTATCATGAAAAGTAACAAAAATCCACTTCATCCTCACGCTTCAGCTGACGGAAACATTCCCTCATGCTAACATTTCTGTTAAAAACTGTTAAAACAAAAAATTGTTTTACACTTTTTAAAATAAAGAATAAATTAAAATATCGTGTAATATTGTTGTTGTTGATGTAATTGTTATTGTTGATGTAATTGTTGTTGTTGTTGATGTAATTGTTATTGTTGATGTAATTGTTGTTGTTGTTGATGTAATTGTTGTTGTTGTTAATGTAATTGTTGTTGTTGTTGATGTAATTGTTGTTGTTGTTAATGTAATTGTTGTTGTTGTTGATGTAATTGTTGTTGTTGTTAATGTAATTGTTGTTGTTGTTGATGTAATTGTTGTTGTTGTTAATGTAATTGTTGTTGTTGTTGATGTAATTGTTGTTGTTGTTGACGCTGACGCTGACGTCATTCACGTCGTATTTCGTGCTGTTTGTGAAGCAACTGTAATAGGCTTTGCCGCCTTGATAGAATAACAAAGCGCATCCGATCTCGAACTTCATGTTGAGTTCACGTTGTAGTTTGTTGTTGTCACCAAAAATTCGCGTCAGCTTTTTTGTGATATATTCAATACACATCTTTCAATTCATTTTAAATACCAGCTTAATTTAACAAATTAATTTTTTTTTAAATAATTGTTTGGGTAGTTTTGAAACCATCTAATTTTGTGTGATATCTCAGCAGCGGGGGATATAAATGGCTGACCGTGGGTCCAGTGCCCCGGCCGTTGTGAGCAGTTTTTTATTAAATCAGTAAAACTCATTATTTCAACCGAAAAAGTGCCCTTTTGACGAAAAAATGATGTGATAAGGGAAAAAAGATCGTCAGCCACAAATGTTGGCTCTCCCGTCAAAATATCTTTAAATAGGACATTCAGGCGTATAAGAACACAAAGAAGAGAGTGCCAACACCTGCTTACACTCGCACCACCACGCCTCATACAAATTAATATTGTTTAAAAATCCATCTACATCTATTTTAACTATTTAAAGTATGAAAATAATTTCGCAAACATTTTCATTGTTCACTCTTTTTATTTTGCATCGGTCCTAATTGGATTCGCAGTATTCACACAAAGCGTAATTTTTTAAAAATTTATCATGAAAAATGATTTGTTTTTTTTCTAAAGTTTTTGAAAAGATCTATCAAAAAATTTCATGAACTTAAAAATACATCGGTGAATAGATTCAGTTTAATAATATCGACCACTGAACAGGTAAAAAACCATTGATTGAAAAATAGAATTATACCATCAGAGAAATTTTAAAAAATTTATGACAACTCTTTTGAAGTATTCAATAGCCCAACCCATTATTCCGATTTGATTATTAAATCTTAACACAATCTAATCCTAATGTAGATCTTCCTCACTATTTTCACCTTACATTTAATCATTCGGTTGCTTAATTACTTATTGCTATGAGGATTTTGTAAATATTTTTGCAACATTAATAGTTTAAATAAATTTAAATTGACGCTTTTAGCATAAACTTAGAATAGTTTTTGATACTATCACTAAAGAACATCTTTAGAAATACGAAAAATTGAAAAAAATCATTTACAAAAAACTGTTAAAAGTTATAAACAGGTAAAAACGTCTGAAAAGAAAGTGTAACATCATTTCGGTTTCGATATAAATTATTCTTTCAAAGATATAAAAATAATTTCAAGTAATATTTTATTATGTTTTTTTACATAGACTTCCACGTCCATTTCCATTCACACACTCCTAAAAAGCGAAACATCAAAATCATCGTGAGACATTCAGCGACTGTTGCAAGTTTCATAGAAAAGTCTTTATCTTCTCTTTGCTAAAGGAGAAGATGTTCAAAAACAAAATCTCTTTGTTCAATCTGACAGTTTCAAACTCATCTCTGATTTTAGATTCTTTTCTAAAATTACTTTCTAAACAGTCTTTGCAATTAAACTGCATTTTCACACCCAGTAGCATTTAAAAATAAATTATCTTCATTTACATTATAAGTTTATTTTGGCAGTCAATTATTTGTTCAGAAATTGAAGCTCTAAAATAAACCTAAAAAGTTTATCCTTCCAGCTTGTTATGATGACTTTCGCGAATTGAAATCATAATTTCGAAATCAAAAAATATGTTTCTTTGACAATCTGCCGTGTTCTTATTTAGACTAACGTGGAGAGGCCACAATTTTTTGCAATTCTCTTTTATATACAGATACACCGAAACACAAACAAGGAAGGCATGGCGACCTCGGTGTTAGCCATGCGGTATTGGATACTTTCCGGGCCCGGACACTCGTTCATTCAAACAAACACTAAGTCTGAAAAATACATAGAAAGATTAGAAAATATCGAGGTCGTCATTACTTGGTTCATAGGAGTAGACCAAATAGTTTGAGCATTGATCTAAGCGACTATCTAAGCGTTAACTATATAAACTAAAATCGAAATTTTTATTACTGCATTACACTATAGTACTTTTGTATGCCCTATCGCAGAGCAACAAAATCTGTGAGCCCGAAAGATATAAAGAAAGATTACAAAATATCAAGGTCGCCAGACATCGTCCACTTTTTGCAGAGGCGGAAAAACATTTGAAGGCTACAGTGACAATAATAACAGATTTTGAATGATCAAACACACACACGACAATCATAACAGATTTTGAATGATTAAACACACACATACACATATTTCACATTAATTTTGGATATAATTGCAATCGCTGTCAATATTTTATAAATCAAACCACACGTCGTTTATCCCACTGAAGCGCTCAAATTGTAACCACTCAGCTCTGCCGTTTTCAGAATTATTTATATCCAAGCAAAAAATTGATGCAACAAACAGTGGCCTAAATATTAGAGGTTTGTCGAACCTGTAATAGAATAAAAAAAATTGAAATCTTCTGTCTAATCAATATTGAATTTAATAATTTTTATCATACTTAAAAAATTAAAGCTTTTGTGTTCTCTAAATATTAAATCGGTTGCCTCCTAGTTTGCCAAGGTGTGAGTCGGCACAGACTGGTTTTGGATTCACCAGCAGCACCCAAATACTGTTATAACACTGGCGCACTAAAACCGTTTATAAAGAATACAAACAATTATTTCGACATCAAACGTTTAATTGATGAGATTCTTTTCTAAAATTGTAATCTTACAAAAAATCAGGTTTCTATTTTTGATCGTGGAAGAAAATTAACATGCTATTTACGCTGCGTTTAACCTAACGCAATTATATCAACTGCTCGAGTTTGTCAAACTGCCTAAAAATTAGGATATCAACGTTTTTTTAAATTATAAAATCTACAACACAAAAACTTTTATGTGAGTTATTGAAATGTATTTCTCTAGAAAAGCTATGTGATCCCTTTATGCGTGATGATCTAATGGTTAAGGTCGCCTGGCGCTGTTTCGCAGTAACCGGGTTTGAATGAAAAAAAGATCCCCGCCTATCATGCTTCGCGTGTGATGCGCCGTTTAGCATGTATTCATATACGATGTTTGTGCGCTCAGTTGAATCCTCTGAATTTTGGAAAAGTGTAATTGACTAAAGTCTCAATGTTTCATTAAATGTTTTCTCCGTAGTTAGCACTAAGTTACGTTGATTGAGGACTCATGTTAAAGCACATAGTTGATAAATTTATCTTCCAGAAAAGCGGTAATAAAAATGAAAATATTTCAGTCGCAATTCCATTAACAATCTAAAACCCTCCAGCCATGATATAATTGTTAACAGAAAAGGTTTGCTAAATTATTAACCGCTCCCGATCTAGTGAGAATTAATCTTTCTAATTAGCTGCAATGGTCATTGGCCTTCGAGCCTGGAACCTATTGAAATAGATGTAGGGAAACAATAGTAAACTTGTTCAGATTATTGGCAAGAGCTCATAAATGCAATGCTTGACAAACGCTATCTTACAAGTAGTATTTCAAATCTTATGCGTCCATTAGATTTTATAATTTGTACGACAAATCCTTCTCAAAACACTTTGAAAGCAAAATTTTTCCAGAACCTCAGGACCGGGAGGGCATAAAATATTTTAATTATATTCAACATTTCTTGTCAAAATAATTGAAACAACATTTTAAAAAAATACAAAGTAGAAATTGAAAAATCACAATTAAATTCGATGTAATCATTATCTAGCCATACAAGAAAATTCCGAATCAATTGTTAGCATGCAGCAGAAACTTGAATCAACCGGATCTCAACGTGCTGCATACGTACAGTCTGCGCAGTTGAATGATGGCTTCATTAAATCAACAACACATGCACATTGCACAACTTACAACGGGAGTGACAAACAAACGAATGTATGACAATTGTGAAACTAACGTACGTATCGCTAAATCTATTCAATTTTAAAAGTTTAAAAGAAATTAAAAAACTTTGACTTCACTAAAATAAAAAAATTAATAAAGTGAAGTTTTTATATAAGGAACGTAAACGAATTTTGGTGATTTTTAAAAGCCATCTATCCCCTGTAGTTGACGTGTAGCTCAGGTTTGATATCACAAACGAGCAGCAACAACTTCTGGATGGCCTTCTCCTTGTTGGCCTGCACACTTTTATTGATTTCTTCAATCATCACCACAGTTTTTTTATCTATCTGCATCTGCATGTCTCCTCTACTTCCTATTATCTGAACAAATAAACATCTCAAATATATGCAAAATGACTTCAAATGGAACAATATTAAATATTTTTTAAAATAAACAATTTTAACAACTGACTTGTTCTTCAATTTTTTTATAATTCTGTTCACATTCTTGTCTGTAGAGTTCAATTTCTTGTTGGGCTTCCTCTTTGGCTTGTTTTAACCTTTTGGCTTTTCCTGAAATAAAAAAGAAATAATTTAGATAACAGTTAGTTTTCATTGTTGGTGTCAAATAAGCATAAATGCATGCAATCAATCAATTAGCTTATAAAGCGCTATTTCCGCGATGTTCAACAGCGCTCCTCAATGAATTTTGAAAACAGATGGGTCTTGAGATCCGCTCTGAACTTTGCAAGTGATGGAGAAGAAGTCAGAAAAGTAGGTAGAGAGTTCCAGAGAAAAGGACCAGAGAAAGCAAAAGCAGATATGGCAAAAGAGTGTTTAACACGAGTTAAGAAGCGAGAACAAGAAGACGATCGTAAACCGGGGCATTCAGGTTCAATTAATATATCTGATAAATACTTAGGAAGTAATTTAGATTGAGACTTATACATAAACGTGCAAATTTTAAAAATTATTCTTTATTTTATAGGTAGCCAGTGCAAGAGAACAAGATATGGAGATATATGAGAAAAGAAAGAGGCATGAGCAACTTAAAGGATAGAGTATAGAGTCAGGAAGACCATAGTAGAGTGAGTTACAATAATCAATCCAATATAAGACTAACAAAGTAACAAGAAGGAGAAGAGTAGGACCATCAAGAAAAGGCATAAGTTTTTTTATTCTATGTAGATGAAAGTAAGAGCTTCTAGCAACACTATTAATCTGAGAAGAGAGAGGCATAGTAGAATCAAAGATAAAATCTAGACTACCAAACATATGAGGGACATCAAGAGTTTTAGAATCAGGTAAGATAATAGGAGGAATAGTAATAGAGTGTATAGATTTATTAAAACAAATTAATTCAAACTTAGAAGGATTAAGTTTAAGACACATAGAGTCAGACCAAGCGATAATTGAAGGAAGACATAGAAATAGGTTATGAAGAACACTATTGAGATTAGATGGAGGAAAAGAAGTATAAAAGTAAGAATCATCAGCATATAGTTGACTAGAGAAAGAAAAGTTATTAATAATACGAGGTAGTTCAGAAGTATAGAGTATAAATAGAAGAGGGCCAAGGATAGAACCCTGAGGTACCCCGAAAGTAAGAGTAGAAGAGTTAGAAGTAGAATTATTGAGAACAACAGAAGAAAAACGATTACAGAGATAAGAAGAAAACCAAGATAGACAAGAATCAGTAATATTAAAAAAAAGATGTAGCAGTCAACACTTCAATTACATATAAAATGTAATTTCATAGAGTAACTTGAGCTACCTATTTTTCTATTTTTGTTTTATAACTCAAATTAAATTTATAAATTATAGTATGCAGTATGTATGAATGGAACTTGAGCAAATACTTCATTCAGTAACTAGATCAATCCCACAAAACAATTTTTATAACAAACTGGATGATATCTTAAAAAAAAACTCAAAAGGCTTAGCTTTGATTAAAAAAAAATAAATATTTCTACATAACCAGGACATTAATATTAATTCAATTTAGTGTTTGTCTTTTAAATTAATATTAATAAAATAAGCTATTTAAATAAAATTTAGTTAAGATATATTTTTTTAAATGCTAATGTAAAATCATATGACATAAATAACAATGACGAGCAGTGATCTGTCAAACATCAAATCATGAAATTGTACAATTTATTTCATTTTATTCACAAGAACAGCTTATCCTTACTTAGATAGAGCCTAAGATCTAATTATGAATCAAAATTTTAGTTAAAAGTGATCACAAAAGTTAAAACAACTAAATGACTAAAGATTAATTAATTCAAGGTTAATGCAAAACAGGAGACATAATAATCAAAAAATAAAAAAAGCCATCTTGAATTGAAAAATTTTTAGCTTTTATAATATTTTAAATTTAATTTTAATATTATTAATTAATTTTTAAGTTTTAAGCTTCTCTAGCCTAGCCAGTCTAAAAAAAATTCTAACATTCTAGTACTAGACTACAACCAATTAGTTAGGTACTAGTTTTTTGTTACTAGTACTTTTTTTAATTTAATAATTAATTCACCAATTAATTTTCAACTCACTTTTCCTGGCTTCAGCAACTTTTTCGGCCGATTTTTTTTCTGCGGCCAACAACTGTTGGATACCAGTAGACTGGCTTGCCATCAAATCAGGTCAGAACAACCGAACGACAGGGAAATTAAATTTAAAAAATTAACTGAGCTGCTGAGCTGCACAAAACAAGACAAACACAAACCAATTTAAAATTTCAGAATCACAAGTTATATTACAATTACAATTACAATGACCAAGCGAACCAACTAATCCGACAACACACGAGCGCCTACGTCATACTCAACGTACTTGTATATAATTAGAAGATATTTGTATTCACATTTCGTATACTATCTTCTTATACAAGGGTATGCATGCATGTATGTGTATTTATATATGTGCGTGTATATATATATATATATATATATATATATATATATATATATATATATATTTACATAATAAATCCAAAAACTATGAATGTTAAAGGCACAAATCTTATTCTAATTATATGGCACAAATAATATGAAATTTTAACATTTTAAATTTCACGTTTTGCACAATTTGTATTATTGATTTCAGTTGCGGATCTAGACAACGTTGACGGGGAAGGGGGCAAAATTTGAAAAAGGTAAAAAAGTTTAAGTTTACCGGAGGCAAACCAATTCACCAAACGTTCACTAGTGTACCTAAAGAATAATTTTATTGACTTAATAACATCGTTCAACTCAATAACAACATCGTTCACAATATATATATATATATATATATATATATATATATATATATATATATATAATTAAAACAACGGGGAACTTCCCCAGCCTTCCGCTATATCCGCTACTGATTGGTTTTCATTTTTCCGTATACCTACACATAATTTATCATAAAAGAAATCCTACCAGAATCTCTTTGAAAGCTAACTGATTTATAAAACCAAGAAATAATGTACGGTTGTGTAGAATTGTTGATAGGAATTTCTATATGCATATATTAAAGTTCCCAACACTAAGCCATCTGTTTACGCATGCCGGCAAGTTTTTGTAATAGTAATCATACATATATGGAATAAAAAATATTTCTCCTAAACTTTCGTGCAGTGTTATTCTATTACTTATAATTTCACCTTCGTGCTACAAAGGTACAAAGGTACCCACACCACACGAAGCACAAACACATTGCGTATGCAAGCGCAACCGCTGCATCATACGAGCTTGGCAGACTTTCATATAAGTTTGAGTTTTCAAAACATGCCATCGTGCAATAACAGCGCGATATACGACACTTCTGCCGTTTGGGCACACGTCTGACATTTAAATGAAAAATACAACAGCTTAAATGACGGTTCGAAATACGCAATATGAAATTATATCGCCGGATTTGTCCGATCTCCATTATTTTGATTATAAGCTGTACGGGAAGCAAATGCAACATGCACATTCCAATCATTATAATTCGCACAAGGAAACTCCATATCTAAATAACTTAAGATTACGCTTAGTTTCAGAAACTAAATAAAATAATTTGATTTTTAAAGGCTTGTGTGATAAGTCTCTTTAATAAATAACATATCACATAATCACAGATCTAAATTTAAATCGTGCGCTGCACATCCAAGCCTCCTGACACATTCTAACGCTTTATTCATGTTGCTTTGCTCGCATTATCGATTATTACGTTGACGTTACGAAGATATGTCTACGAACTCCTGTAACATTAATAAATTAATGGCAAGCAACAAATTAATTTCAAATCATTTACAATAATGCAATGACAATGAAGTTACTTGGCTTTAGAATTGTCTCAGACGTCTATCTTTCGTCTAAACGAGGAGGTTTCCAACAGCATAACTTAACTTACTTTTCAAGCCGCTTCATGAATTAATCTCACGTGCGATCGTTCTATTGTCAGATTCAAAGAATCATAAACGTGAACGCATTGCTGAAGGTGATAAAGAAAAACAAAAGTGTTCCTAACATGAAAGACGCAGTGCCACAAAAACTAAATATGTTTTTGAAGAATTAAAAAACAATGAAAACCGTTAGCCAAATTTTAATTTATTTATAACATAACGAATTTATTCGATACCAATATATGGCTTTCGAATTATATAAAATCACATCCATAACTATTATCAAAAACCTTCATAAAAATTCAATTATTGACTTATGAATTATAGTTATCTTGACTTCAGTTATCGTCATGTTGATTGACTTTAATGTATGGCACCTGCAATATCCTCGTGTAAATGGTCAACAATGAATAACTTCCCCAAGTTTTGGTTGGCTAAGTCGGATATCTGATTTGTGTAGGTGCCAATCTGAGCAGTCAACAACAAAGAATCCAATCTTGATGGCATTGGAGGTGGTTTGAACATCTTATTGATGTCATCGTCTGGTAGAGGAGGTTCATTTCTATCCTGGCGCGACTTGTTTTCTTGTTGCTAAACAAATGAATAAATAAATAAAATATATATATATATATATATATATATATATATATATATATATATATATATATATATAAATATGTGTGTGTGTGTGTGTAACGGCCAGCAACGGAAGTTCGTTAACCTAGAAACGAGTTAATACCGTTACACAATAGGGTCGTTGAAAAATTCAAAACCTCATGGATTTTAGAATACCATACATAATGATATTCATTGGAATTGTTTATTAGCAGTATTGCACTGAAAGCCCTTCCACACAATTTACAAGAACTTAATTTTTCTCTGTTTCCGTTATATTCAGCCCCTTTCAAAGTGACTCGCTCATTGTATTTACTCATGATAGGTAGAGTGAGGTAACGGTCGCATTTATCACCACTATTCTAAATAGTTTAGTAACCGTCACGCTACAATTTAATTTCAACGAAAGTGGGTGGTGAAATCATTTAGGGTAACTTTAACTAAACATCTAAACATTGAAAATACTAATAAAACAGTAAGTTATCTAACTCAACAATTCGTTTAGACACGCACCCACATCCACACACATGGACTGCATCTTCGTGAGCGAAGAACTGGGTCATTGATGTGACTTCATGTGGATAAAAAGTCCAATTCTAGACAAACATCGACGATCACATATTCCACAGACCCACACTCCTGCGCCGCTTCCATCCTGGACCACCTGTTTTCGCCGCTTCCTTTTGTCAACCAGAGCTGTGATTCGTGCCTGTTCAAAGGCAGAAACCGCCGCCTGTGAGTTCGATCTCCAATTCGTACGCTGCTGGGCTTCAGAGCAGAATGTTTTTAGGTCAAGTCCACACTTCTTCAAATTTTCCTTCAGACCGTCCTAATATCTACGAACCGGGCCACTTGCAAGACGAGCACCCGAGGCCAGCTGTCCAAAGAAGACCTGTTTTGGAATTCTTGCATCTGGCATGCGGACAACGTGCCCTGACCACCGAAACTGGGCCTGGAGCAGCATTGCTTTTATACCCATTGTACCACATCTCTCCAATACCATGACATTTGACACTCTATCTTCCCATTTGATGTGGGCAATAGCTCGAAGACATTTCATTGGAATTGATCGAGCTTTCGTATGTGGCGACGATAAGTCGTCCATGTTTCACAACCATATAGCAGAGTAGTCAGTACAACTGCTTTGTAAACTGCAATTTTGGTAGGGTTAGAGTGCTCCATGCTCCCTTCAGAGACGTCTACTCAATCCCCCAAATACAGCATCAGCCTTTGCGAGTCTGGCTGTGATATAACAAAATCTATTGACAGCATTCAACTGCAAGCCGTCTGCTGATACTGTGGCCGCTGAATCAGATGAGATTGGGTAGCTTTGAGTCCAAATCTTTTAGCTGCCGCATGAAAACGATTGAAAAGAGATTGAACTTCGCTCTGTGAATGTGCAACTAGAGCACAATCGTCGGCAAAGAGGAGGTCGCGAACAATGACCGTCTTCGTCATTGACTTTGCTTGTTGACGTCTGATGTTAAAAAAATTACCATCCAGGCGATAGCATATTGGTATGCCTTCGCAACAGTTTTGAAAAGCAATCTTCAGCACCAGGGAGAAGTAAATGTTGAACAACAACGGGGCCATGACGCATCCCTGCTTGGTACCATTACCAACCTCAAATTCCGGAGAATGTTCTCCATTTTCAATCACGCTTGCTCTCATATTGTCGTGGAAGGAGCAAATTGTCGTGGAAGGAGCGAACACGAACACGCACACACACACACACATCTCTATATTTGATGCACTCAAAAAACCTTAATCAAAAACTTGATGGTAATCACCCACCTCCACATAAAATAACTACCAATTCAGAAAATTGCATCTACTTGTATTAGTTAACACAGCATATTTATTTGACACACTGAATGTTCGGATATCCGGTCAAAATTTGACATTCGGCTTCGCCATTTTTAAAAGCCGAATATTGCAATCTTCGATTAACCAATCACATTTTTTGGGATTCTAGAAAAATAATTGTTTATTAGTGGAAAAATTTATTTTGGCCATCAGAGCCGCTGAAACAACTAAATTTGAATATAATCTCCATTAAGAATTTTAGGATAAACACGAATCGCCTATTATATGTCTCAATAACTTAATTTTCATAATAAAAAAAACACAAGTTTTTCCTAAATTGTGGGTTTTTTATATTTGGCATTAGGCAGAATAGTGGATCAATTATTCGGAATTCGTATAAATATGGTGATCTGTAATATTTGTTGATGCATCTTGTACAAATCCCAACAAATTGCTACAATTTAATGAAAATTATTTTGCAAAAAAATATTTTATTCAAAAGAGCCTTTGACAGCGCAGTTGTTTTATAACATTTTCATATTTCTGTGCCTAGCTTAATGACGACGACACAGCTATATAATTTGTGTTGAATAAAATCAAATTTCTTATAATTTGTCATCACAGTCAATCGAATGAACAAAAATTAATAATTAAATAAGAATAAACAAACCCTTTTGTTAATGTATACTTGCTTCGCAAGGTTTTGCTTGGCTAATGTTCGCTGATAGTTGAAAAACTTGTTTGAATCTTGAGCTAAATCATCAACTGAATCTATCAGCAATCTTAAATTCTTCTCCAGAAATGAGCTACGAAATTAAATGTCATGGAGTGAACATGAATGCAATGAAAAGAAACCAGTTATCTGTTGTTCGTAAATGAATTTTAACAAAGCTAAATTTCAAACTAAAATATTTTTTGAGCAATTATCACATCAAATTACACCAAGTCTATGATGTATCTAAAATATATTACATGATCAAATCGATTATCCACGTTTTTCTAACCAACAACCGAGCTTGTTTAAACTGATCTTGCCCAAATGAATTTTACCAGCGAGATTAACAATACCTTTTTCAACCATTTTGTGAACATTGTTAACATGCAACAAACTCCAACATTCAGTCAAACCCTATTTATTTTTTTACAACTTTGTAGTTAAATACATTCGTCATTCAAACAAGATATTCATTTGCACCGTCATCTCTGCATTTTATTTCTACATAGCCTCTTTTTTTACTGAATTAATAGAATGTCAAACATACCTTGAGAAAATAAACATTTTCAACAACATCCAATTGCCCCGCTCTTCAAAAATTCACAACAAAGACCAAAAGGCATAAAGATAACCTATCAGTGCTAAGACGCCGTAAAACTGCAAAATTCCTCAGTTGCTATAGGCCCAAATAAAATAATCAGTAAGACTAAATATTGAAATTCAACACTACATAATCCTATGCAACCTCAACATAAAATCACACTAAGTTTTTTCTTCTTTTTAACGCCAATCCAATGACTCACATTTGCACATCAACAGAAGTCACTCCTAGTTTCATTTAGACATTGCTCAGCTCAGTACTATCTCAACTCTAGTTTTACATAGTGCTTATCTTATTTTAATGACTTTCAAATCCTCAATGCACTCTTCCTACTTTCTGATATCTTCCATCTATCAAATTTCTTTATGATTACTCTCTACATCCATTTTATTCTTCAGTCATTTGCTTAGCCCTACCAGATAAATGGCCAATAATTTTTACATTTGTTTACTGGTTAGTGACTAATTTTGAATGCTATTCTAGAGAACAGCAAAGCTTAATTTTCAAAAGGCCAAAACTTCTACATTTTCTGTTGTATGATACAAGTTTTAATTATAAATGAATGAGATTGGCCATGATTTATATATCAACTAAAATTACGTATAGATAAAGCTATTTGTGCTAAAAATTAATATAATTATTATCATAGTGATAAACAAACACGAGTTCGATCAAAATAATTTAAATTTTAACAGAGGTTCAGTTTATAATAAAAAAAGCACATTTAAAATTTGAAGAATGAAATAAAGAATGAAATACAATGTAAACTATGTTAGAAACCTGGATGACAGGTCAAGGAAGGAGTATTTATTGTCCTGGGGCATGGCCTCCTCAATTTCACACAGCAAGAATTTTACAAGATGAGAATTGGTGATAACTACAGGCACCTCCTCGAACATTGTCTCAAAACTAAGTTCATTGTTCTTTATGCTTCAATAACAAAAACATAGACATTTAATGATAATAATCACTTGGCAATTTATTTCATGCAAGCAATAAGCTGCAGAAACTGCTGAAATAAGTAACTGACGTATCTGGAGTGAAATCTCCATCTCTGTACAACTGCATCATGGAGGGCGTCAGTCTGAGAGCTTTTAATGCCAGCAGACCTTTGGACGTCCTGATAGGATCTGTTTTATTTTAAATTTAATTTCATCAAGATAAAACAAATTGAAAAATTTCTAAATAAACCTCCTCAGTTGCTACATTTTCCAAATTTGAGCACCTGAAAACTTATGTCATATTACAGCACTACAGACGCAGCTGACCTAGAGTACATAAGCAATGAGCAGCGGGTTATAAAATTATTTTTTCATCATTCTGAAAGATAGGACTGAATAGATCTGTGCTTTTTGCTTGTTAACCAGTTAAGTTTAGAGCAACCAGCAAAAATATAAGTATTAAATTTATGATGGAAATAATTCAGCTAAATGGTGTCAAAATTAAGCAAAAGAGTCTACATTATAACAAAACCTTTTGTTGTTTTTTAGTTTCATTACAAAACCTTTTGATGTTTTTTAGTTTCATTTCAGAAAATTTCATTTATTTTTTTTTTAAGAATCGGTCACAATACCTACAACAGAGCATGATAGGACAGCACAAAATGATAGAACATTAACAAAATGATTACTGCCTCCATAGGCGCCAACTTAGGGGGGGCAAAGCACTTTTTGCCCCCCCAATAATTTTGACTTGAAAATTCAGTTTTCAAAAACTTTTCATTTTTATTTTTAATCAAAATTCGTGTTTATTTACAGTAAACTTTTTTTGAGCGTTAGTCTTAAATAAGTAAAGCGTTCAATCAGTAGCCAACTTTTAAACAATTTTTTGCAGCGTTTCGTCGTGTTACCATAGCAACAAAACGTTAAAATCGATTTAAATTTAAAATTGTCATCACGTTGTTTCGTACGCTTTTATTTGTTAACCGGTAAAAGTAAGTGTTTTTAATAAAATTTAATTAAAAAGCTTTATATAAATATAAACTGCATTAAATTAAGTTGAATGAATTTGATTGAATTTATTTCCTAAATTTTATTTTATTAGAACAAGTTTGAAAAAATAAAAATGGATAAGTTTTTGATAAAACTGCCAGCCAAACATCCGGGACTGGAACGGTTTCAGAAGACTCAATTATCCAAGAAAACACCACAGTAGCGGATACAGATTTAATAGTAGAAGGCACATCCACTACTGTTACTTCTGATAGATTTACGACTACAATTACAAAACGTCGTTTTGTTCCAACTTGGACCAATAACTTTCCCTGGATTCTGTATGATTCAGAAAAAGATATTGTTCTTTGTTCCACGTGTCGAGAAATATTTTTCACAATGGGTCTGCCGTTTTCTTCTACAAAAGAAACCGCTTTCATTGAAACGGGTTTTAATAATTGGAAGAAGGGGTTGGAAAAATTTAAATTGCACGAAAGATCACAATGCCACAAAGAAGCCGTATCTCATACCATGAAGTTATCAGTTAACGTTGTTGCACAGGTGATTATATAGTTTAATTTGTATTAGATATGACAGGTTATCCTCAAATGTAAACACTTTTTATTATAATAATAATATATTATTGAATAATCGAAAGTGCCTGAAAAAGATTTTTTCTTCTCTGTTGTTCTTAGCGTCACAAGGTCTTGCAATACGTGGTCACGACGATGACGCAAGTAATTTTGTAAATTTACTTAAGTTAAGAGGTGAAGATTCTGAGGAACTGCAATTGTGGCTAAAATCTGAATCATATACTTGGTGTAGCCATGGTATACAAAACGAAATTCTTGATCTTCTGAGCCATACTCTTAAGAAAATAATTTCATTAGTTAAAATAGCGGGTTTTTATGCTATTATATGTGATAAGACGGCAGATATATCTCGCAAGGAGCAATTTGCTTTTTGTCTAAGATTTACAAAGAATCCATTAGAAGCAGAAGAGATGTTTGTCGGATTTTACGGAGTGGAATCTACAACCTCAGCTGCTTTGTATTCGGTGATCAAAGATGTTCTTCTCAGATTTAACTTACCACAGTAGAGGACAGTGTTATGACGGTGCTAGAAACATGGCTGGTGACAAACGTGGTGTTCAAGCTAGAATTGTTGAGGACGAAAAAGAAGCATTATTTATTTATTGTTTGGCTCATTCATTAAATTTGGTAGCTCAGGATGCAATCAAAAATTTTCCTATTTGCAGGGATGCATTAAATATGGTTAAAGACATCATCAACTTTGTAAGGGACTCGCCTAAATGATTGGCTATATTTCACAATTTAAAATCTGATGTTTGTACAGGCCTCCGACCTCTTTGTCCAACCCGATGGAGAATCAAATATGTCTCTCTGTCGTCTCTTTTATCAAACTACTCAAAATTAATAGATTTCTTTACCGATATGGCTGAAAATGATTCATCAGATTCTGGTGCAAAAGCTTCCGGATTTTTAAGGCTGATGGAAAAGTTCGATTTTTATTTTACTTTGATAATATTAACAAAATTATTTGGATACATAGATACGGTTAACACAATGTTACAAAAAAAATCCTTGCAATTTGAAGAAGCGCATCGGATGATTGCAACATTAAAAGCTAGTCTCAGTTTTTGCCAAAAAGATTTTTCTGAATTTTGGCAGAAAGTAATTTCTGATAAACCTGCCGAGGTAGAACAAGGGGAACTTAGACAGCAGAGAAAACGAAAAATTCCAAAACGATTCGAAACTAATGATTTGCCAGAACCACAAAATAATCTTTCTCTTAAGGAGATATATCAATCGCAATATGTGGAGATTATTGATGCGATTTTAAAAGCCCTGGATACGAGATTTGAGAGCAAATCATTCAAATTCATTTTGGAAATCGAGCAGTTTTTGCTAGGTGACGATACAAACAAATCTAAGATTCTCAAATTTTATGAAGAGGACATAGATCCAGACCGCTTGATTGTGCAACGAGAGATGCTGCTGCAAATTTTAAAAGAAGCAGATCAATCCCTTGAAAGTATAAACGATATCATCAATTATTTGAAAAAGCAGTCACATCTAATTGAACTTCTTTCGGAATTAGTCAAGTTTTTAAACATTTTTGTTACCATTCCTACGACTTCCGCCACCGCTGAGTGATCATTCTCTGGGCTGAGAAGGTTAAAAACATATCTAAGATCGACAATGGGTCAAAAACGACTCAATTCTGTATCTCTTCTTCATTTTCACAAAGATGTGGCAAACGAAATGGACTTGGATTCAATTATTAACGAATTTATTCAAAGAAATGATCAGAGAAAAAGTACTTTTTATATGTAAATATGTTTAAGTATGATTCTTAGAAAAACACTCAATTTTTACAAATACTATTGTGAATAAAATTAATAGAAAGAAGTAACATTTTGCTTTTTGGATTTATAAACAATATGCGTTTATAAGATTCCAAATTTTCAGATTTCTTGTAGTTTTATTAAATTTTAAAATTTTGCAATCTTTATGCCGTTTTGTCGAATTGCAGTTTTGATGATAAATTTTTTAATTAATATTTCACACAATGTTCCTTGTATAATTGTAAATTTATTGAAGAATGGTACACAAACTAAATTATTATAGAAAAGTTTGCAAACGTATTCTTAAATTATTTTGCCCCCCCAATAATTTGATAAAGTTGGCGCCTCTGACTGCCTCAGTTCAAAAATAATAACTGCATAATTATTCCACATGACCCATTTTAAAATAGTCATTCAATTACAACTATTCCAACTAATTTTACCCTGTTTTCGTTAATTCGAATAATATTGAACCACAATTTGAAATAAAATTTTAAATTTTAAACATTTTCTATCAAAATAACGTGAGAAAATTTGACCTTTGAAAACAAAATTCAACGTAAAGGTAAACAAATTTAATGCAATGTTTCAATTTGGATACAAATAAAAATTCATATTTGTCAGAATAAACAAACTTAATAATTTTTAAAAATAAATGTTTAACATGTGGTTAGATCCTACAATGCATAACCAATTTTTAAAAACTCTTTGAGGTAACATTCAATTGTACAAATGGAAACTATGCATTATTATTCGTGTACAAATTTTGTAAAAAAATCTATTAAATATGATCAAACAAAAAAAAGCTTACCATAAACAAGTACAATTGACTCATCAATGCTATGTTGATAGTTAAATTGAGAATCAAGAAGGGCTTTGTTTAAGTAGGTTCCAAATAAGGTACTTTGGTACCATCCAACATGCAAATGATCAATATTAACATGACGAAGATTCTTCATCATCTCCAGCTGATACAGCACTGAAAACAAAATGGAAAAATCGTTAATTTTTATTAATAAAAGCAAAATATAATCAATCCACACTGCAAATGATTTTAACAAAGCAAACAAAAAAATCTACAAAAATAATAAAAATAAAAGTAAAGTGGATTTAAGCTTAGTTTGTGATTACTTCACTGATTTTTAAACCCATAGTCCATTCATGAAAAATGTGGGGATGATCATAGATTTTGAAAAATAATAATTTTTTGGCACGCTATTTGGATAATCTGGAAAAACAGGATGATAGCGAACCAAACATACCAACTATGTTTTCATCAATTACTTGTGGTACAGCGTATCATCTACTCATGTTGAGTTTGTTGAACAATCATTAGCCAAACAATCAAAATGTAATATTGAAAAATATACAGATAGTAATAACAATAATAATAATAATAATACAGTCTTATAGCAAACTTCTATACAACGAAAATCTCTATTTAACAAACTTTTTCAGGCCCCTTGAAATTTTACATATAAAACTGCTTTTATAAAACAAAAAAAATTTCTCAATTTTAAAACAAACATGTTTATTGTTTTTTGTTCTAGTATTTTAGTAATTTTTGCAAATTCTGCCTCAGTTAATTTCAATGGAATCGTTGCATGGAACCAAAAACAAATTTCACTTTTAGAATTTTATTTTTTTTACAATTATAACATGTATTATTACTTTCTGTTATTAAAATAAATGATTACGAGTTTTTTCCCGGAACCATCAAATTTGTTATACTGAAGCCCAACTGTAATAATAATAACAGCAACAATATTAAGTGTTCTGACAAGTGGCTGAGGTTCCTTTGATACAAATCTTAAATTTAATCACATGTTGGAAAAGCTTTTTTAAATAAATTTTTTTGTTTAAAGATTTGAATGAAGAAAACATAACAACACCACATTATACCAATGAAGTAAATTAGTCACCTTCATCAAATTCTTCATCATCAGCATGTCTTGGAAATGGAAAACAATTTGTCACCTCAAGTCTGTTGTTCTCCACCAATCCGAGCAGCACTCCCTGAACCAAATCATTTCCACCAGTTCCTTCTTCTTGGCAGTGCTTAATCATTTTCAACACAACCTGTAAGAAGTGTAATGTTAACCAGCATGCACTAAAATTTAATTTCATTCATTCATTCATTCAATGATCCTCTGTAATCCCTTAAGGAACCGTTGAGGCCGATGGTATTCTTCTATCTCTCCAAAATCCTTTTCTTTCCCTCACCATCTTCATTGAGCTCAATGTTCCAACCCCCGTCCATTCCGTGATATCATCCATCCACTTCCTCACAGGTCTTCCAACTTTCTTCTTCCAGTCCCTCTTTCTCATCAGTACTTTTTTGATCAGTCTGTCGTCTGTCATTCTGCAGATGTGCCCAAAGATACCCAGCTTTCTTTCCTTGACACTTTCATACACAGTTTTTTGTCTTCCAAGTTGTTTTCTTATGGCATCGTTTCTTATCTTTTGTCTCCAACTGATTCCCAGCAACTTTCTATAACAGTGCATCTCGAATGCTTCCAGTTTGTCTTTGTCTCTTTTCTTCAACATCCAAGCCTCACATGCATACATCAATGTAGAAAACACACACGCTTCTACAATCTTTACCTTTGTTTTGTTTTTTAATTTGCATGTCATTTAACAGTGAAAGATTAGACAACCTCTCGAATTTGAAGTTAAATATGAAAAAATTGTTTTAATACACAATTATATTTAAAATATAGCTAGCTACCAGCATGTAAGTTTGGAAATTATTACTATAGAGTATAGATATCTACATATGGGACTTAACATTCATTTTCTCATATTTCTTTTGAAAAAATAAAATTACTAGAAATCTCTTCTAGCCACCATAATATTTGAATTTAACCAGCCACCCAATATCCTAATCAGCCAACATAACGTTCACAACCTGCTAACAAAATATTCCTATTCAGCCATACATTAGCTAACATAATATTATATTCACAATATAAAAACCCAAAACTTCAAAACCTTTTACTATCCATCGACGATTTAATTAATTTAATACAATAAAAGCTAATCAGCCAATAAAACAACTCAGCCAATTGGTCAGATGTCAGACCCAACATTGTCAGTCTCAACCCCATCCACCATCTTCTGGAATGTAACCCTCGCTTTGGAATCAAATAGAAACTCACCAATCCATCAATTTGTACGTAAGAAACTGGAACATGTTTTCTGCGATTGGACGCCGACATTATTTAACTATGAATTAATTAATTTATTTATTATTTAGCAGACCGTTAAACAAAAAAATTGCCACACGTTAGTGTGATGACGTTAGTGACAGAGGATGCGCAACTTTTATAAAATGTGAGATATTTTTTATAATGGATAGCCGTTGATTCACACAAAACAACAAAAAGTTGAAAATAATTTAAAATTGAGAAAAGAATAAAAAAAAATACAGTGAAGTGAGTTAAACTTAAATAAAACAACGTAACATTAAGAAACAATTAAAATGAATAAAATTTAAAAAAAATGAATAAATATTTAATAAACTATAAAATGTAAAAACTGTAAAATTTGATGAGTTTTATTAGTTCATAAAATAAATATTACATTTTGTTAGATTCAAAATATTATCTCCATTTTTTCAAATCAAAACAATTTTTTGCTTTTTCGCAAAAGCTTATTTAACATTTATTACAGTTACGTTTCTGCTCATAAAAATGAACGTTAATCTTTCAGCTTTCTGCAAAATTAAACTACAAATCAGTTTAATCTCAGTTTAGTAAAATTTCTTTTGATATCAAAAAGACTCAAAACTGTGATGGAAATATTTATTTATTTACACTAAATTTATAATAATACTATTAAATTGCTGTGTAAGAACGTATATTTTTTTCATGGTACATTGAATGTTTAATCGTTGTATGGTTGTGTTTGTTTTGTCTTTATCAGCTGTATTCATCCTGATTTTGTTTGTCTTGTCTTTATTGGTTACCAGCATGTGCAGAAATTTCTTTGCCTTTCTGTGATAAAAAAGTTTCCATGATTTTGGAAAAATATACTTTTCACTATAGAATTGGTTTCGAATTTAAGAATATGTGAGTACATCGAGTAGTACATCCTACACTTCTCACATGCATATATACAAAAAAAACATCCATTACGCATACTTCACCGAGTATTATACAAAATGTATAACTTAGTATGCAATTTTTACAACTTAATTCAAAAATAAGAAATTTTAAGTATTTTAATAATTATAATTATTTCATGTCAGCGCATTGAATTATATATAATTCCATGTGTCAGCGTTTGTCGTCTTCACAATTTCAATCGTAAATTGTCCTAAAAAATAGATCAAGTTAATAGTTTCTGACATTTTCACTATTTTGTTCGAAAATTAAAAAAAAAATAATTTACATCAATTATTCTGATGATTTCGTTTCAGCGCATTTAAATTTTACACTTTCAATTGTAAAATTGACGTTGAATAAGTGATAATTTCTGAATTATTTTTTGCGCCATTTTGTCGTTTAATATATTATCGGCGCCATTTTGTCATGCGCCATTGTGTCGGGAAATTTGCACTTTTTTTGTAGTACGTTATTTTGTCGGGAAATTTTTGAGCTATTATGTCGACGCAATTTTGTCGACTCTTTTTTTTATGGGTCACATTCTCTCCGCAAGATGTGACCAAAAAACTTTAGCTGCCCTGTCGGATTGATATTAATTATAACTTTATTATATTATATTAGATTCAAATTTTATTAATTTATATATCCATTCGTCTATAGGCAAATTTATATATCATTTATCAAAGTAGATTAGATTTATAGATAGATTAGGGTTCAGAATACATATTTGACGTTACACAGGTCACCCACGTACATGCATTCTCCATAAATAGTAAACATAAACAATAAATAACATTTGGTCATTTCTCTATTTTATGGTATACATACTGGCTTAGCCTACTGAAGTTTTTTTTAATTTTTTTGATTTCATAATCATTTTAAATACACAGTTTTGAATTAGGTTATTGATTAAACTAAAACTAAAGTTACTAATATAAACTAGATTCTCTGCTACCTACTGTTAACACAGTAAAATTAAACCTCAAACTAGCATTGCTAAAAAAGTTTTTTAGTTATAATAATTTTTTTTAATAAATATTTTTTAATTATAGTTGATTTTTTAAGAAGTTTTTAATTTTTTATCATTATCTCACGAATAAAATAAAACTGTTGAATTGTGTTATATTTTTCATTGTGAGCATTTATTTTTATTACTTTTAGGATTAGCATTAATAATTGATATTAAATCGACAATAAAATTTTTTGGTATTGTTAACTCTGCGATAATTTATAGTATAAATAATAGTATTATTATTATGAATGGAAGCCTCTAGTTCTTATTTCTTAGTCTTCTTATGAATCTTATCTTAGGGCTTAGTTATGGAGTAGAGTTAGCTAACTTAAGTAAGACAAATTAATAAGTAATTATTGATGTTGCAGTGACTTGTTTAAAATGCAGAGATCCCTGCCTATCAAGTGCAGGTTGTGTGATGATGCATGGTTTTCACAAGTATTCATATACACTGTGTGTATTTGTTGTTGATACCTCTGAAAATCAAGTGCAAAAGAGAGAATAACCTTTTAACCTTTTTTTAAGTAAAATAAATAATATATAAAATAATTTTTCATTTATTATGTTATTTTTATTTAAATATTTATGTGCAATATATTTTAATGGTTAATGTTTAATAATTTAATACAATTAAAATATATATTTTATAAATAAATGTATTTATTTGTATAAAAATATTGTAGCATTTGAATAGGTATATTTAATATAATATACTATATAATGTAATATAACATATAATATACTATAAAATATTATATTATATGTGAAATAATAATATTACACACATGTATGTGTCCATGGACGAGACATTGATTCTGAAAATAATCTCGTTAATTTTGTGTACATTACCTTTTAATTATTTTTTAAAGTACATCACATGTCCAAAAAAGTGTTTCTTATTTCATTGTTTATGTTTTGTTTATTCAGCTTTATCATAACTGTTAAAATGTGCCAAAACTGTTTTCTTTATTAATTTTTGCTTTATTTATAAAATTTAATTTTTTAGTTAAAAAGATTCGGAGCAAAAAGATATGGCTCAAGATGAATCTTATTGGAATGATTCAATTTATTCTATTAGAACAGAAGGAAAAAATGTTTTTGACCTTGTTGGTTTATTTTTTATTAATTAAATAATTTATTTTTTTTCAACAATATAGAGTAGGATCTATAATATTGAGGTTGTGAGACAATTTTTTTCTTCATTTTAATTGAAAGATACCAGATTATTTAGTAGAGACAGTCATTGTAATTATATGTTATGAAGAGTATAAAAAATTACAAAGGTTAAAAAAAGTTAAAGGTTTTCCTAAGTCTAGAGGAATGACCATCGAAGGTGGTGGAAGCTTAGGCGGAAAAAGTTAGAACATAAATTTCAAATAGGACAAAATTATTTGAAAGTATAAAATCACAAAAATTGGTCAATTTTTTAATAAAACGTAAACGAGAGTATTATTATATCAAGTTTATAGTCCAGAAATAAGATTTAACTTTGAATAAAAGAAAAATGTTGAGTGGTTATTGTTAAAAAATGTAAATGAATTATTATTAGATTCACTTGAAAAAATTAACTTGGAATTGTTCTACGTAACTTGAAGTTACGTAGAACAATTCCAAGTCATCATATAACTAAGGAAAAAAAAAGAATTTTCAAAATTCAGATATATGATTAAAATGAGGAAAAAGATTTTAATTTATGCTTGTTGTTTTAATAAATTATAAATTGAGTTATTTTAAAGTGTCCATGTATCATCGTATCGTCTATCTATGAGATGGGCAAACTATGGCGGCCGTCGACCAAAGAAAGGTCGTCAGCCAGACATTACGACCAAAAAGATCATCAACCACAAATGAACATTTAAAAATTTCTCCACCGGTCAACTGGTCGTAAAAATTGGCTACTTTTTGCTATTAAAATACATATGCGGCCCTTCAAAGTAAAATAGTTTTCAATGCAGCACTCGCAGCAAAAAGTTTGGCCACCCCTGTCCTATAACACGTTATCTATGTCTCCACCATTGATATATATAATTTTCATGGTCTCCACAACTCACAGTCAAAAACAGTTTTTAAATTGACGTATTTATAGTTTCCGTTGTTTTTCCATATTTTTATAAACCATTCCGCCACCTTTATGTCGTCTGATCTTTTTCTATAGCTGTTTGAATTTTTTTGGAATTCAGCTCTCATCCACTTCCATAGCATTCTTTTTTTCTAATTGCTTCACATACACATGTTTCTGGGATTCTTTTTCTAATATAATCGTTTGTCACGTTGACTGCATACCTGATTATTAATATTCTTCTGATCTATTTTTTTCTACTGCATTTAATTTACCCTTCATCGTAATTTAAATTCCCAAGTCTGACATTTATAGATCAGTATAGATCTATCCATAAAGAACTATAAATATATATCAGTACTGCTATCACATAACTGAAAACTCGTTAATTATGTTTTTAATTTTCAGTTTACATGTTGATAATCCTTTTTTGTGTTACAATTTTTAAACGCATTGCACATTTAAAATTGTCAAATTTTATATGTACGATAAATATATATATTTGCTAGGAAAGCGAAATCATTTTCCCGCAGTCTAATCGAAGTTATCAGGGAGAAGTGGACACATTAGAAGACCACACGGATAATAAAATTGTTGGCTAGTGCTATTGATTTTTTCAGTAAATTTTGTTCGTTTTAAACTGCGAAAATTAAATAAATTTTTATTATATGGCCGTAGGTAGCTCTTCAATCAGGCAGAATGTTGAAGGCAGCACAACAGTACTGAAGAATAATGGTTCTTATGTTTTTATTCTTGTTTTGCTGCTGTTATTTATATTTTGAACAATTGAACTATTGCCTTTTATAATTTTAGAAGTGTTTGTTGCTGTTTGTTTGAAATTTAGAGGCTCTTATATGTGACATGTCTGTCTAGTGAAGGGATGGCTCTCATGAAAATACATATACCCACATCATGTGATGTGAATGTGTATGTAGAGCTTTTTAGCACAAAAGTTTAATTCAAAATTGAATTTAAAATGAGTTTGGCGGCTTTTTAATTCCTAATATAGCTTAACAAAAGTAGTAAGAAATTTGTTGAATGAAAATTTGAATAAATTAACAATGGCCTAATAAAAGTTACATAAACTACACTAACCTAATAATTTTTTGGCTTCAACGTTACAAGCAAAATTTTGGTGTTATACATAGTTACTTGAACGTTGTTGAGATTAAAGGTATATTGTTATATTGGGCATTTCATGCATATAGGTACAATATGTCAAACGCTGTGTTGCAATGCTGCAAATATGACATGAATAACTCTTGTGACTGAGGTGGTGATGCGGAACTGGGTTTTGCATTGGCGGTTTTGGCAGGGTAGGTTGGCTAGGTGGATTGGATAATGATAGAAGTAGTAAAAAAAGTTTGCAAAAAATAACTTAATTAAGCTTATATTGATTACAGATTGCAACAGCTTTAAATATATCGACAGATGAAAAATACTTAAGTTTATTATAGCTTTTTTTATTAAATTTATAGGAATTTTCAATTTTACTTTTCTGTTCGTGCCAGATAAAATCAGGTGAACGAATTCATTTGTAAAAGTCCGACTGTCTAGATGAATTGATTATAACAATAACAACAAACAGATAAATTGACATCGTCCGTCAGTCAGACCCACCCGTTATCCTCCTCTTCTAAGGAGCAAGCTGAAGTTAACTTTTTGAAGAGAAAATTGACTGTTAGATCCTTTAATTTTTGTTTTCTTTGAACAAATTATAAATATCACTTTCAACGCTTTTATTTTTGTTCCTTTAAGCGATCTTAGCAAGGTTCATATTACATTGATAATAATATTAACAACCCTGGCTGGATGTTAGATGATCGCCATTTCAACATTTAGTATTTTTATGTTACTCATAGAATATGTAAATTTTCAATGGAACCATAAGTCAAAAGTTTTTATTATGTTTTTATGGTCATTTATGTTAATGTAATTTTACTATTCTAATATTGATAAACTGCAACAAGGTGCTGACATCTTCAATTTAAAATTAATTCATTTGCCAGAAGCACTTCTCGGCGGTATGAGTTTTAATCCAAAAATATTGAAACAGTTAATAGTCAAAAGCATGGTAAGAAATGTTGTATTGCTTGAATGTAGAAACCAGAGGGTCATTGGTCAGATAAGGTGGATTGATTTTGTTTATTCTACATTACTTAGAGTTCGTTACTCTAAAAACTCTGCAGAAGACTAAGAATTTCCCTGATAGAGAGGATTGATAAATGTGTTTGGAGACAATTTGTAAAGCCCTTTTGTTGAAAGTGTTTCATGTACCTAGTAAGGAACTAATCAATTACTTGCTCTCTTGTAAAGTTACATTATTCTTATATCACACTAATAATGATAATATGACATTTTTTCTGAAGAAGAAAAAGATTTCTTCTTGAGGTATGTTCTCATAGCAGTTATTAAACTATAGTTCATCAGTTCTGAAAGCAGTACAACTGAGATAAGAGGAGGGGCACGATCGACGTTGAGGTTTCTATCACAAACAGCAAATTTTGTACAACATGTTTGTTGTTAACTATATTTGTGTAACTGATGTTTAACTTCATCACGAACTTAAATATATTTTTTTTGTTGAAATTGCAGGAATTTGTTTTACCTAGTTCCACCGTGCTGAAGATAGTTTGGGGATATGTGAGTTTTTTTTTGTTTATTGTCTTTACATAATTTTGCTTACATAAGTGAATGAGCTTGCGTTACACACACACACACACACACACACACACACACACACACACACACACACGCAATAAAATCTGTTTATCTTCCAGCCTTACTCATTAGAGTGCTATAAATCTCGTGAACACAAGTTGGAACTTCTTAATGAAGCCATCAAAACAGGCGACGGCAATGCAATACTAACAGTTTGTTGTAATCACTTGGTTATAATTTCATAAAACACAGTTCATGATTAATTTTATGTATAATTGACGACAATTTTTGAAATTTTTTCATTTTCTGGTTCTCTATGGATTAATTTTGTCTCATTGATTTTTTTTACACAAAGTTAGGGCTGAGTTTTTTAATCTTTGGAGTTTTTCAATAAGGTTGAAAACAACAATTAATTGACGGTTGAGCTGCTTGATGCTAATCTATGTAGCTTTTGCTAATACGATGGGTTAAACTAACTTTGATCTTGCTTATTCCACACATTAATAAATCCACTTTTTCTACATTATCTGATTGTTGATAGCTGAATATTTTTATTAACTTTAACAAATGCAGATTGTTCTCTTTCTTGAAAGAACAATGAAGAAAAGTTTGTTCAATTTAGAGATAGGCAGAAGACCAATGGCACTGGACCACTACATACACCATCTGCTTGGAGAAGAACCCAGCAATAACATGTTTGATGTTTTAAAGTATGTTTTCAAATTTTTTGAAAGGATTGATTTTAATAACTTTTTTTAGACCTTTTGAACGTTGTATCCTAAAAGTTTAAAAAAAAATTTTTGAACACCACAATTGACGACAAATTTTTCCTTATTCAGTTATTATTGATATTAATAACGACGTTTTAGTATTTCGTTGCTCTGTTTCTCTTTTTTCGCTTACTGTTTCAGTAAGGCAGTTTCGTTTTCACAGCGTGAAAGTGAAATTATTCCAGCTAAGTTACGAACAAAGAATATAAAAGTGATTTGTAATAGCGTTGACGAAATTAACATGACGTTAAATAGGTCTGTTTTAGTTTGTAAAAATTTTTTGTTGATTTTTTTGTCCAGATTTTTTTCCAGATCAGATAACGCCGCAGTTAGTCTTTTTTGGTTTGAATATGAATACATAATCGATTTTGACATAGATTTGATTTAATTGAAATGTTTGTTTATTCTGCTTAAAAATAAAATTTTGAATTTTGTTTTTATTTCAAACGTGATCAATTTGTTTATTAGTTCATAAATTATGAGATTTATTTATTCATAAAATATTTATTTTCAAATATTATTCTAAGATGTTAAAGTTCAAGTTAGCGACGAAAGACTCAAATGCATCGTCCAAAGTGGCCAGCCTGAAGAAATGTCTAGAGTATGTGACTTCTGTTTTTCTGTAGCTTAATTCTTATGTATTGAATGTTGTTCTACCTATCGATTGTCTTTTAATCATTTAATGATTTCGCTTAGATATTTAGCTGAAAACACGTTCAGTGTTACACCCCTTTTAAATATTGCGTGAATGACATCTGTCCCTTTGAAAACAAAGAAACTGTACTGCTTTATTGAAAATTTGTTACAAATTCGCGATTTAAATACAGTTTCAATCGCATTGAGTTGTTAATTTTTTTTATAATGATGTTTTAAAATGTTATAAAAAATTGTTAGGTCCCACTTTCATAAAGAGGAAACCTTGCAGCAGGAAGCTTACGTTGTACAACAATATATCGATTTGATTGAGTTGCAGTGCGCTATACAAGTCGGTTGTTTGCTGCTTATGAATAACATTTTATGGGTACATGTTCATTTTTTGTGATAGCTACTTGTCGTTTATGTTTGTTGTTATCATTGCATGACCGCATTTTATCTGTTTGTTGTTGCTCTGTATTTCTTTAGACGAGGTGCTCCGGAGTAGGGCGGTCAAAGTAATTTCCGTTTTACGATGTTTATTAAATAATGAGGTTATATGATATACATTATTCAAGTTACACTGCTAATACATAATTAAATGTTTGATACTTAAATAACTTTGAATTACATATTTTTTGACAGGAAAACTATAGAAATGAGAAAAATATTTCCAATCCAGTAACACCAAAAATTTCAGATGGTTTTGTCGGTAGTGCAACCATGTCAACATTATCTTATTCCTGCCTTTATCATTATGACAAACCCGAGGTATGAATGTTTTATGTGAAATCATTAAAACAATCTAATAATTTCATTTTTATCATTAGTCACATTTTAATGTTATTTTATCTATTGTTTGCATCGAACTTTTCGTCTGTCGAGTAAAATTTGTCGAGCGAACCCATCCCCAACTGACTTCTGAAACATTTCATTCTCTATGTAAAGTTATCTGCTCGTATGCGTGGAACAAGTTATTTGTAATGATGATTTGTTAAAATGTAGACTGTATATAGCGCGAGGTCGATAGTCAAAGAAATTCACTTTTAAAAGACATAATATGCTTTTCAAGATAGTGATGGGGACGGTTTTGTTTTGCAATGTAATGCAATCCTCACTTTCTCGAGGCTGGTAAAGAAACGCCTCATTACAAGTGGACTGCCGTCGAGTGTTGAGCAATATCGAACTTTTACATTCTTTATTCTGTACAATCATCAACGTTGTCTTGGTGAGAGATTGTTCATTTTCTGATTACAATCTGATGACCACCAAAACTGAATCGCAAATTCTCTATCAACCGGCATAGCCAAGTGTGGACTTTGAGGCTGAAGCCACGATTGTATCCACATGACCTTCACTGGTGCTTTTCAAAAAGCACCATCAATGATGAACTATTATTTTTATATGATTGCTGTTGCTGTTAAATTTCTCATAGTTTGTTTATTCTCAGACAAATCAACAACACACATAGGTGGATTCACACATTACATTTACATTGAAAGTAATTTAATGGGCCGGAATCTCTCTGCGTTCTAACCCGGTCACTACAGCAGGTCACTACCTTCTAAATAATCATCACACCATTTTGCCGTCCTTAATATTGTTGTTATTTATCTATAGAAATGATTGTTTCTTTGAATCTTAAACACATCTTATTCTGATGGTTGACTGCCAATAAGTATTATTTATTTTTTAATTTATCGTGCAGAATTTTTTCGTCAGTCCATTATCGATAAAAAAATCCCAAAAGGTTAGACGTTTGTTAATTTAAATTCAAATTTTGCGTTCGCTAATCATTTACTCATTTTGTCTTCAATTTTATTTATAATCAATATTTTTAAAGTTGACGGACAAACAGTATCTATGGAAAGCAATGATTGCATTAATCATCCAAAAACGATGGAATGATCTTGAGAGCCTTTTCAAGACGAAGGTTTTCACGTTTTTGCAGTTTCTTTATCATTGTCTCAGAAGTTTATGGTTCTCTAATACCATTTAAAAGGCAATTAATCGTTTTAATTGTTTGTAATTGACCTAAATAATTTTTGTAGACGTGGATGGGTGGGATCAAGATGAGGTCACCTGTGAGTTTTGATAGGATCGTTTCATTGCTGCATCACATGAACGCGCCCAAAGAGGTTGAATAAAAAAAATATTTTTTTCCATTCATTATTATCATTAAGAAATAAATTTTATTAAAAGTTTAGCACGTAATAGTATCTTAAATATGTCTATGAACTCGATCGGCGCATCGTTCACTTTGCAATTTGCATACGACATAAACAGGAATTTTTTGCAGCGGTGCAGTAGAGACATTGTTATCATATAAAACAATTATATACACATAAATGGATACACATTCACACACACACACATATATATTTACAAAACGTCCTGGGCATGACATAAAACTGCATCCACGCTGCCTTGCGTGCTTTTGAGCAAAAAGCTAGGCCCACCGCTTATAACTGGTGGTTGTCGTCAGGATGGGTGTCCGGATGTAAAAACTTTCCCCAAATTACTCCTATGCCATCACAAAGAAAAACAACGGCCCCTAGTCCCCAGCAGGCCTTAAGTGGTCAAGGGGTGCTAAGAATCCCTGGGAAGTATGCAATAGCGGAGGGATGTTGCAGAAAAATTCAGAATGGCCCCTCTATGGTACTTAGACTTGGAACGCTCAATGTTGGATCACTGACTGGCCACAGCATGGAAATTGCAGAAATGCTCGAGCGTAGAAGGATTGACATCTGCTGCCTTCAGGAAACCCGATGGAAATCGAATGGTGTCATGTCAACTCAGACAAAGAAAAATATAAACTATTCTGGAATGGTCAATAGACGGCCAAAAATGGTGTTGGAATTTTTGTCAGAGAACCGCTAGCCCAAGAAGTACTGGATTTTAAAAGGATTAATTCACGTCTCATGTGGATGAAGCTTCGCATAGAAAAGCAAACAATGATTATTTCTTCTGCATACGCACCACAGACAGGCGAATCAGAAGAGATGAAAAATTACTTCTGGACTGCATTCTCTGACACCATCTCAACAATACCAAAATGTGAAACAATCCTGATTGGAGGCGATCTCAATGGCCACGTTGGAGAGAAAATAGATGGTTTTGACAACGTACATGGCGGTTTTGGTTATGAAAAACGGAATGAAGATGGCAACCGCATCCTTGAGTTTGCTGAAAGTCACGGGTTTTGTTTACTGAACACATATTTTAGAAAGAAGTTGGAACATCTCATAACATACAAAAGTGGACCATCAGCCACGCAAATTGATTTCTTCGCTGTCAAGCAACCACACCGAAGGCTATTCAAAAACGTCAAAGTTATACCTGGCGGATCATGTGTCGCCCAACATAGACTCCTTGTGGCAGACCTGGTTGTCGAATTGTCAAAACATAAGTCTAAACAAATGCCTCGGAGAATCAAAACGTGGAAACTGAAAAGCAATAGTCATCGAGAAAAATTTCAACAGATTGTCGCCACACAGTTAGACCACCAATCGCAAGCCGGTACAGATTGGAGTACATACAAAACAGTTTTGATAAACGCTGCAACTACAGTTTGTGGGAAAACTGGTACAAAACGTCAGCATGAACGTGACACTTGGTGGTGGAATGACAGTGTACAAAATGCAATAGCTGAAAAGAAAGTTGCATACATCAATGGCAAAAATCAAAGTCTGTTGATGACCATAAAATTTTCTGTGAAAAGAACAACTATGCAAGACGTCAAGTTGCACTGGCTCGGACAGATCAGTGCAAAGAGTGGCTCACTAAAAGCAAAGGCGAAGAAATGAAATCTCTGTATCGTATAGCAAAACAAGCAAAGCGTACGAAAAAAGACATAGTTGGTGCCTCATGTATCAAAAATGACAAAAATGAGATGGTTCTTGAACAAGATGAGATCAAGCTACAGTGGAGAGAATACTTCAACCGTCTGTTAAACGAAACAAATCCCATCAATGTTAACTTTGACGCTCCACCCATCGAAGGTCCGATTCCAGACATCACTATAGAGGAGCTTACAGAAGCTCTGAAAGCTATGAAGGATGGAAAGGCAGCAGGGCCCTCTGGACTCACAAATGACATTATCAAAGCATCTGGTACTGCAGGTATCTAAACGTTACTACGACTTTGCCGTGAAATCTGGAGAAATTGCTCAATGCCGACTAAATGGAACTATAGCATGACAGTCCTGCTATACAAAGGCAAAGGCGATCCATTGAACAGTTCATCATATCGGGGTATACGTCTGTTAGAACACTTCCTGAAAATTGTCGAGAAAATCATTGAGAGAAGATTAACGTCGTGCATCACAATCGGAAATTATCAATTTGGTTTCCTAGCGGGGAAATCAACAATTGATGCAATTCACATCCTTCGGCAACTGCAAGAGAAGTACCTCGCAAAGCATCAACAACTATCACACATTTTTGTAGACCTTGAAAAAGCATTTGATCGAGTTCCCCGTGAAGCAATCAGGTGGAGTCTACGTCGACAACTCATTCCAGAATATCCTGTTCGACTTGTGATGGAAATGTATACGAATACTAAGACTCTTGTCAGCACAACGATTTTCAGTCCACTGTTATTTATAACTGTGATGGAAGAAATCACAAAACCGATACGCACTGGTGACATTTGGAATCTAGTATATGCTGATGATATCGTTTTAACAGCCACATCTGAGCAGAATGCAGCACAGATGTTTGATGATTGGAACACCAGACTCGCTGATCATGGATTCAAAATCAACATCAGCAACACCAAAGCAATGAACACTGGTGAACTCATCCAATCCACAGCTACTGGGCGATGGCCCTGTTCAGTTTGTAAAGCTGGTGTTGGTAACAATTCAATCAAGTGTCAGCAGTGTAACCAGTGGTGTCACAAACTTTGTTCAAAAATAATTGGTACTTTATCTAAAGTGTCCAATTTTGTTTGTCCTGCTTGCATCAATCCACAACAACAAATTCGAAATAGCACTGTTTTTGAAGCCATTAAAATAGAGAAAGTCACATCGTTTCAATATCTAGGGGATGTTCTGGATTGTACTGGAACAGCTGAAGCTGCCGTTCGAGCACGCATACGTGCAGCCTGGAATAAATGGCATTTCCTTGCCTCTATATTGATGCGGCGTGACATCCCACTACCATTACGATCAAGACTTTATAAATCTGTGATACGTCCGGTGTTGTTATATGGTGCAGAAACATGGCCAATGACAACCAAACTGGAACAACAACTTCAACGAACCGACATGAAAATGCTCCGATGGATGCAACGAATTAGTCTGAAGGACCACATCAAATCTACCGAAATCTTGCGTCGTGCTGGTTTAGATGATATAAAGGACGAATGCCGGCAACACCGTCTGCGGTGGTTTGGTCATGTCAAACGAAGTGAAAACTGTGCCATAACTTCTCTTGCAAATGTTGAAGTACCTGGCACACGTCCCAAAGGCCGTCCAAAGAAGTCCTGGTCGCAAACAATCGAACAAGACATGAAAGCTCTAAATTTAAATGAAATGGATACAACTGATCGTCTAATTTGGCGCAAAAAGTTGATGGCAACGAGAACAACGTCCTACCTCGGGAAACCGGGTCTCTGGACGAAAAACGAAGATTGATTGATTGATTGATATATTTACAAATATACATATAATGCGACTACATACGAGCGTTCAAAGAAATAAATATATAATTGAATTGAATGCTTTTGAAGCTAGTTCCGTCCTTTGCACGATGTTGTTCTACTTTCTGTAAAATCATCTAGATTTTACCAGTGCTGATAAAGTCATTATTCAATCCAACTTATATCCAACTGATCAACGTCTTCTAGATTACTTGAACATCTCATGACGCTCAGATTTTGCCACCATCTAACTTCTTATAATTCCAATCCGCTTATTGCTCTCGCTAAATCGGGTCGACAATCTGGCTGTATTTCTGTTGAACTTTACTTTACTTTCACTTAGATTGTAGATACCGCTTTATACAATTAAGAAATACACGTCTCCTCTCGGCGGGATCAAATCCTAAGTATCACACGATTCTTCTCTTGGTCCTCTCCTGCTTATATAGTACATAGATTTCCCTTATCTACGACATTTTTAGTCAACACGACATTTTCTCCAATCGATATGTTGTTTTATATGTATAACTGTATTATCATTGAATTATTGCGACACACATTTCTTAATCGTGTCATAGGCATGCGCTAAACTGCAATAGGTGTTTGGAATGGGTTTCTCCCGTGCTCCTTACTTTCATATTTTAAAAGAACGTCTAAAAGCCTATCCTTTTAAAACTACTAAATTGGCTCCGGGCGCTTCATAAATGGTCATGTTCATATTATTCTAATTATGTTGCTATTTATATTATTAATTTCATCGATATTTTTCATTAGTTTACGATATTTGTTGCGTGACTGTAGATTAAAGAAAAGTATTGCTTGTTAGTGGAGGATTTGGATCAACGCATTCAAATAGCGTCCAAGTGCTCTTGCCATGAAATTGTTCTTAAAGTTTGTTCATTGTTAATTTTTTTGAGTTTGAAAATGAATATCGTCGATCTATCATATATAGTGTGTGCGTGAGTGCCAACGTAATACCCGTTAAATACAGTGCAGTGCAATGACAGCCAGAATGCAGATGCTAAGCAAAATGTGTTTTATATTGTTCTTCATTAGCTAATGATGAAATTTACGATAAAAAATAGCTGGTTAAATTTGAATATAATAAAAGTGTAGATTAATTGTGTAGTTAAATTACTTTTCAATAAACGAGTCAAGGATTTAAGGCGAGTAAAATATCGCTGTAAAATAAAATGATTTTGAGAGATGACTAACTGATTTTAAAAGATTCAGATAACCCAACATTGGAAAATTTATTTATATCTGGATCAATCAATAATCTATTTACAGTTATTTATATTGAATATTTATATTTCCATAATTTTTAAAGGAGCTTTTCAACATATAATAGAGTTAAAAATTTTGTCCAATAATTTTTAATGAAAGTTGAGACATCTCAATTTTGGACCAGATCACTGCTATGCAGAACTGGACGCTTCAACAGTTGAGTTAACATTAGTTACACCACCAAGAATATATTTAAATGGAGAAAATCGTTATTTTACAAGTTTATGATAAAATATCATAATGATAATGTAGACGTATAAAGATCAGCTGAACAGATGCCAGATCGAAGAATACATGACCTTGCTTAAAAACAACACACCAGAATATTTTTTTGCCAATGAACTGCTCAACGATACGGTTTGTTTTAACATTTTGACATCTTATACAATATTCTTAGTGTTGATTTTATACTGTGACTGAAATTTTAACTTTCTTTGGCTGCTTTTTTTACTGTTTATATGCATGCTGTAGATTAGTTAATTTAATTAATCGGTAATTTTTATTTTAGCTGCTTTTATAACATCTTTCTGTTGCCATTTTCATTGAGTTCAACATTCCCACCTCTCTACTTCATCTGGTCATTTTTTTTGATTCATTCGTCTTTTTGCAAGAAAGTTCATAAATTTTAATTTTCTTACTTGGACCTTTAATGTTTATTTTTTATAAGGAAGCAGAGGCGTAGGCAGGGGGGCTTTAGGGCTGAAGTCTCCACCATGGAAAGTTAAGTTAGAGTTAAGGCTCTATTGTACAAAATTTCTTTATAAATTTGGAAAATTTAGATTGTAAACTTTTTCGGCCCCCATATAACAATAAGATTTTGTTATATTTTGTACACCTGTTTAAATAGCAAAATTCACCAAGAAATTTTTGATGAGCAAAAAAGGTTGCCAACAAATTTCTGGCTACGCCGCTCTAAAAATTAGAGTATAAATAGGAAAATATATGGTTCGATTAATTTAATAAATTAATGTATTAAATGTGATGTTTATAACTTTATGAATAAAGTGTTAGACAATAAATTTAAAAAGAATTTTTAATGAATACGGTGGTCGCGACCGAGAGATTTCCGAGTTTCATGCTTACGGTTCAATGTCGCACGCAATGTAGATATGCAACAGCAACGACTCCTTCATTGTTTTGTCATGTCTGCGGAGTGGACGAATCCGGACTACGCGCAAATTGCTCTGGAGAGTTTGGCTCGATCATTGGAAAATTCAACGATCCGCGCTAAAAAAGACATGAACAAAATAGTTAACAGAAGATCTGCAGATTAAACGATTGAGTTTAATCTATGCGAAGATCGCAGCAATGAACAGACTAGAGTGGAACATTCGTGAATTATCAACACCCACATAAGCGTATTGGCTGCGAAACCCTCAGCAGCCATCTGCCAAATAAGGACCAAAGAAGAAGAAAAAGAAAGGTTTCACATAAATTATTTCAAGTGTTCATTACAAAATAAGAATGTATTAAGAAGAGATTTTGAAAAGAGGGGAAATATTACGTGAGGTTGTTTGTACTATGGCTATGGATAACGGTTATCTCCAATATTTACAGACGCAACGCGTGAAAAAATAGGTGACCAGGATAAATTAAGCGTGGTTGGTTGTTTAGCTACAACATATATAGTAGGCTACTGCTTTTTTTATTCAGTAATTTCATCGAACAACGTTTAGCAAGAAAATAATTTTAAAAGCAGATCAAAATCAAAAATTCCATGCTAAAATTTAGCCTTTGCACGCAAATTTACATACTAAAGCTTTTTTGTGATTGTATTTTTCTATTTTCAGTTGTTAAAGATTTAGTTATATTTTTATTAATTAATAATTCGAATGAATGAATAAATAATAAATTGAATGATTTAAGGGTTTAATTATAATAAAATAAATTTTATTTAACATAGTCTATAAAGTGGAAGAAGTAATTTTTCAATCAACTTTTTGATGTTGTTCAAGTCGACCGTTCTGTTCGTCTTTCCTTCTGCAACATCTCTGTATTGTATATTAGACTCAAAAATTGATCAATATATATTCAAGAACTATTTTAATTTTGCATTACAAATACGTGTGTGTGTGTGTGTGTGTGTGTGTGTGTGTGTGTGTGTGTGTGTGTGTGTGTGTGTGTGTGTGTGTGTGTGTGTGAGTGTGTGAATGGAGTGTGTGTTAGATGTAATATAGTGTAGTGTAGGATTATTTATTTATGAGTTAATTTATTTTTGGAAAGTTTTATGACTGTTTGGATTCTCTTGTTAAGAAAAAGTGTGATTCGTTGTTAACGTTTTATCTTCTACATATAGATTATTTTATTATTATATATGTATATAAATATATGTTGGTAATAGACCATAATTTTTACAATATTCTATAAATTCTACCGAATGTTTGGCGTTAATATGTTTGTAGTTCGTTTTTTCGATTTTTCTCACTAAAG